ACTCTAGTCATCTCAAAAGTCATTCTTCAATGGCTACTTCATCTTCTTCACACCAAAACTTAGCTTCTACTATGATTGGGTCATCTTCTTCACAAATGGGTAACGAAGGATACAAAGAACCAGAACGCACTCTTCTAACTCCAGTGGACAAATTAGAGGTACTGTGTGAATTTATGGTTGATTTTAATTGTTTGGCAGCAAATGGGTTTGATCTTCGTCCAACAGTTAATTTCCAAGGATGGGTAAAGTATTTTGATCGGTTGGTTGGTCCAGTTTTTCCCCAATTGGTAAAGGAATTCTGGATTCATGCGAAAGTCTACCCTAAATTCATTTCTTCATCCGTTTTGGGTAAAACTATCATCATCACTGAGGAATTAATTCGCAAACTAATTGGCTGTGAAGAAAAGGGTATTGTGAATTCCTCAAAGGGACGAGTAAATATGGTTGATGTGTAAAATGAGGTGTCTACCTCTGGGCTTCCATCCAACAAGATTAAGGATTCGAAGACCCATTACAAGATTTGGGCAAAGATTTTTCTGGGTTGCATTCATCATCGTAAAGCTTCTAATTCTCCAGAATACATTAATACAGATCAACTGTATATTCTGTACTGTCTAGGGAACAATATCAAGGTGGATCTGCCACATCTGTTATTTGTTCATCTATGGAATCATGTCAAGGTGTCCGGAGAAATCGTTCACACCAATCATCAGAAGATCAGAGATTGGATTCCCATGGGAAGGTTAATTTCTGGTATTCTTACTAAAAATGGTTTAGTAGCTCATCTGAAAGAAGTTGGCCAGACATAGGAACTAGTTCCTATGCTTGGGAAGCCTCTGGATGGCAAAAGTCTTCAAAGGATGAAGTTGGTAGACAAGCTTCAATTTGATCCAGTTCAGATTGATTCTGAAGCTGTACGCAGAAGAAGGGTACCAGTGGATGATTTTCCACTCTTCACTGCAGAGGAGCCAAGAGAAGCTCTCCATGATTATCCACACCCTCTTTCAACATCCATCAACAAACCATTTCTGCTGAAGTCCCCTTTACAAACCAACCAGATGTTACCAACCCCTCTGAACTTGAAATCTTTGAACATGAAATCCTTTATGCCACACCTCTCCTTACTATTCACCCAATTTCATCTGGCTCATCTGATTCATCTGACTCATCTGATTCATCTGATTCTTCCTCTGATCATTCAGATGCTACATCACCCTCACATAACTCCCCAAACCATCCTCTTGAAATTTCTTCTCCCACTCACATTTCCTCTTATTCTCCAAATACACCTTCATCATCTGTTAAACCTTCACTTGTTGATGCTTTCTTTGAGGCCTACCTTAAGCCCAAACCTAGACCAAATGTTGGTGATCTGTAATCCAGTTTTGAAACAGAGATGCAGATGTGGTTTTCTGCTATTATGGAGAAGTGCCTCACTAGCACGAATCCTAATGACTCTGAAGAAATTTGGACTGCTTTCAGAAAAAGATTTGCTTCTGTGACTCTGAATCTTCAGGACGCTTGCTCTGTAGATGCACAAGAGAGAGTTTCTGAAGCTTTGAAACTTGCTCAACTGAGTGTCAGCATAACTCATGTTATGTGTCTGGAAAACACACCTAAAGAGGTTGTGGTTTCCACATCTGAGAAAACTGCTGCACTTCAGAGTGGTGAAGTTCCTTAAGCTGAAGAAGTTCCATCAGATGCTCCTATTGCTGAAGAAATTCCTGAATCTGGTCATCCCTCTGCTATGGAATTAGAGAATGCACCTTCTTCATTGGTTGCTCAAAATTCTACAGGTTTGAAGAAAGTAAATGAAGATCTGCAAACCAAGTTTGCTCAGCAAGAGGCTACTAACAATGAGATAAAGTCCTGGATGGTCAAGCAAGAGAAAGCTACATCAGGAATTCAGGAGTGGATGGTCAAGCAAGAAGAATCTACTTCTAAAATCAAGACATGGATGGCCAAACAAGAAGCTTTAATTTCTGAGATGACAGAGCTTCTTAAGCTTTTAACTTCTCGTTTAACTTAATTGTTTGTTTGTTTGTGCTCATCTGTGAACTTATCTTGTTTTATTTCTCTTCTGAATTTTTAAATGCATCTGTGATTTTTCTTTACATCTGATCCTATCCTATATTTGTTCTATTTTTCTTGCTCTGAATTTTTTTTGCCTTAAATGATTTTTTTTTAAAATAACTTTTTGATATGACAAAAAGGGGGAGAAAATAAAAATTTTGAATTGTTCACATAAACAGATACTAAATGGAAACTCACACATGTTAAAATCTAACAAATCATGAATTCAGTGTTTCCGAGCTAAAGTTACTCATCTGACAATATTTATAGAATTAACTCTGAACAAGATCTGAGATAATCCACACGTTTGCTCTAACTCTGGAAAGAATACAAATGCTGAAAGGGAAGTTTTAATTTTTCTAGCAGTATTCATTTCAGGGGGAGAATCATATTCTCAGGGGGAGATATATATATTTTACTTATTGAACAAAATTTCGTATAGTTTTTGTCATCATCAAAAAGGGGGAGATTGTTAGAACATAGATTGGTTCTTAATATATCTCAATGTTTTGATGATAACATTAATGAAATTTTGTATGGAGAAAATATATACTCTAATCTTGTTCAAGTATTTTTGTTTCAGATAACTTAATAAATATTCCTCTAAATAGAATATGCCTCTGAGCGAAGCTACAGAAGACTTTAAGCGAAGCAGGCTCTGAGCATAGAAGTATAAAGCAAAGATTCAGAAGACTCTGAAGCGTACTAAACTCAAGCTGCAACTGCAGAGGATCTGAAGATCTAATCAAGTAAGGCTCTGAGTATCAAAACTCGTACGGATCTGAAACGTTAGTAACCAGACTTTGATACATTTGGATAACAAGCAAGAACGAAGATCTGCTCTGAACTGAAGTGCTCCTCTGGATGAACAGTTTGTTCAAACATTCACGCTAAGCACTAAGCTGCAGAACTCTGATAGAGAGTTACTCTGATAAGAACTCTGAAGAGAGTTGCTCTGATAAAGAAAAAAATGAAACATCATCAGACGATTTGATTCAAGGAATTATTTTCATATTCGTTCGATTCAAAAGATGATGTTCAAGAAAGACTCGTTGCCTATTCCAACGACACTATTCCTACATCCAATGGCACTTTTCCTCTTTGGTGTATGAAACAGAATGTCAGTAACAAAAAGCATGTCTCTGAACATTCCTCTTCTGGAAAGGAACAGTCAAAGAAGACAAAAAGTTTGTGCACGCTATTTGAGAATTGTGTGAAGTATTTAAACAAGTCTTCAACAGCAAATTCAGTCCACAACAACTACGCATAGAACAATATACAACGTGAAACAACTTTATTCTAAAACGTAAACTTTAACCAAGCTGAAAAGAAAATAGAAAGTTTCATTGTTCGTTAATTTGTGTAAAATCACTGTTGTGATATAGCTTATTCTAGAAGCACTTAAACACAGTTTATTATTACTTTGTAATAGATTTTTGAGAGACCAAGTTGTGGTCAGTATTCTTGAGAAGACCAAGACAAGTTTGTCTTAGTGATAAGTTTGTAATCAAATTTTGATTATTGGATTAAGTCCTCGTTTGAGAGAGGCAAAATCACCTTGGCCGGATGGACTGGAGTAGTTTGAGTTCAAACGAACCAGGATAAAAACATCTGTGTTATTTTATTGCCTTATTTGTTGTTTGAAAACCCTTATTCAACACCCCCTTCTCAGTGTTTTCCTTACCTTCATTATCTACCCGCCAAAAAAGCAATTTGAAATTTTAAAACCAAAATGCTCTTAGATGCTCTTAATCCTATTAGCCAATGTCTTCGTAAAATTGAATATTGATATTATTTTAAAATTTTCAAATTGATCTCTATTTTCCAAAAATAATATTTCAAAAACATTAAATTAGTCTTTAATAATTTGCTCTTAATTCTGTTAGCGAATATCTTGGTGAAATTAAATATTAATATTATTTTAAAAATTTCAAATTGATCTCTATATTTTCCAAATTAATCCTTAAAATATTTCAAAAATATTAAATTAGTCTTTAATAATTTTCCATTTTCACAAGACTGATCACATATTTTCCAAATTTTTTCATTTTTAAAGTTTCCTAAATTTTAAATTGATCTTTAATAATTTTTAAATTTTACAAATTTGTACCTTTAAACTTTTTATAAAAAAAATTATAACTTAGTCTCTAGTTTTCAAATTTTAAATTTAGTCTAAAAATTTATAAAAAAGACCCCTAAAGTTTAAAATAATTTGAATACTCCATCTATAAAAAAAATAAAACTAAATGAATTTTAATTCAATCACTTATATTTGTTTAAAATATAAAATTTCTTAAAAAATTTCAATTACCTCGACCTTGTCCAAACACACTGATGTTATTTTTAACATTTAAATTGAACCTAACTCAAGTTTTCATTGGTATAACTTGAAACACTAAGACTATATATTAAATAAAAGGTCAATGTTTAATCATTTTTCCTATCCAATCTTACTCACCTTAATAAATAATAAATAATCCACCAACATTTTACCAACTAAAACAAATCCAAAACCATTTTGGCTAGAAAAATTTCTGCTACCAAGTTCTACCATCAAACACAATTTTGCCATTTTATGTCCTCTTACCATATCTTCCCATTACAAAAGTTATCATTGTTTTTTCCATTGATACATGTCAAGAAAATAGACAGTTATATCTTGCACAGTTCAAACCTTAGGCGATCTGCTTAAAATTATTTCGGAGTCTCTTGTCTCGCCAACTGAACTACGTACTCGAGTCTCGCCAACTGAACTATCTACTCGAGACTTAATCCGTTATTATCTTTCTTTTCACACTAGTAATAGCAAACATTCTCAACCAAACTATTTACAAGAGCACATTGCAAAGAACAATCAAATAAATCAAACACAAATCAAACCGAAGGCACATTTTCTTGCATAGTTACAACCAAACTCATACTATGAACTAAACTTGAGAACTGTGAAGCAATGGAGTTCTCTGACTATCATATCTTTCTGAGTATTTGATTGGCATTAGAGCTGGATCATTATACGCATTTGCCATCTTCTCATAAAATTCTGACATATTATACTCATTTTCGTCTGCTCTGTCCTTCTTAATCAAACACTGCATACCATAAGAAATATTATTAAAAAAAACATAATTGAGAAAAAAACAAGGTCCTCTCCCTCTCTTAGGACTGACACTTCAGATCAAAGTCATGTATGATATTTGGCACGTGTGAGTCTTTGACACCAAGACAACACCGACACATGTGGTTATGTTCTCACTTTCATTTTCTCAAATTATTTCCAGTCAGTGTCATCTTCGGGTGTGTATTTATTTCTTTGCTCCATAAGTAACAAAAGCTCTTTGAAGAATAAGGAAATAATAACAAATATTATGAGAATGTAATTCATCATTAGTCATGAACATTAAAGGTACCTCAGCTGGAAATTGCTTGAATATAGGGAGGAAACGTTTCCGGCAATACTCATTGAATAGAAGTGTGAGAATTGGAAGAGGAAGAGTCAATCCTGATGCTAGAGGAAGTTTCTTCAAACCGAAAATCCCAATGGCTATTACATGCATTAGTACCAATGAAAATATTGTGGAGGTATGCACTGTTGGCCAAAACTCTCCTCCAGTCTCAAACTTTGGCACATAAACTTTCAAAAACTGTCACCAAAAAAGATATTAAATGATTGTACGTATAGCGACGAATATCATGAAAAACATATTGGCAAATCTCCTCTCCACTATTCTTCGAAATGCACGATCAATGCATCAATGCATATTATACAGAAATGGGAATTCAAATGCAGGTGAAAAGGAAAAACAAAAAAGAAAAAAAAAACAATATGCGAACCTGGTTGCGGAAAATGATGTATCCCAAACAAAAGTATATCAAGAGAAATGGCAGTATGAGTGGAGCAAGAAGGAAGTATGTCACACCAAGAAGACCGAAGAGACGAATCCTGGGAATTTCACTATGATAGGGAATTGATGGGGGCTCGAAATTGTCATCACTGTTACTACAAAAAGTTCGACTTAAAAAATTGTAAAGAAGTGTAGTTAATTGAAACAGTTCTGATGCTATGGCGGTCCAACCAGATGTCACAACATATGCTATGAAGAATGATGCCTGCAACAAATACATAGAATATATTGAAAAAAGAGATATAAAGGATATCCAATATCCGTGTAAACCAATTTTACACTAACTTTCAATGAAAATCCATTGTTTTGCCATGTCACTCTACTTTTGCAAAAATAGAATGTGCAATAAAACAAAAACAAAAACACTGATAGCTCATCTACTTTATGCAACAAAAACTTCATTCTCACCTGTGATGGTACAGCTTCTGCTAATACTCGGGGGATGTTTTTCGGCTCAAGAAAGATGTTAACTCGATAGAGAGCTGACCCTGATAGTACATTTGCAAAGAAAATGTTCCATATAGTAAACAATAATACTTTAGTACATGCACTTTTCTGTATCCGACTCCATGAAATGTATCCTTGCCAAGATGAAAGCATAATCATGGCTGGTGGAACAAAGGATAGAAACTGCTGAAGAATCAAACTTGGAAGGTATCCTGTTATAACTTGGCTCACAACTGACCTGCAAACAAATATTTGTCAAGTCTACTTCAATTGGAATAGATTCTATGCTTAAAAACTCAATTAATGTAGCACCAACCCCTCTGAAAAAAGACGTGTCGGTGTCTGAAACCGACACTTATGATTACGTTTAATTTATGTTTTTTTTCAAATTATTACCGGTGTCAACGTATAAGTGTCGGTGTCGTGTTTCCGGTGTCCGTCCTTCATAATACTACTTACAGTCTTAGTATGCCTTTCAAAAACGGGAACAGCGTTTCCAACTGATCAAGATGCGTAAGACCTTGTACTATTGCAACCGGGATAAAAAACAGAACTGTAAGAGTAGAGTATGCAACAAAAACCACCAGCTTGCTGATCCATCTTTTAAGGAATGAAACAGTGAAGAAAGGCCAATGAACATCATGTGGTTCAGGAGCTTCCTCAGTAATCCACTCTGTTGGATTGACACCTTCTTGAATATGTAATGCTATCGCGGCTCCAAATCGTGTTTTAAATGAGACGAATGCCACAGGAACTTCCTATAAGTTTAAATTCATTACAATACAAAGTGGATGAATTAGACAATTTGTTAATGCCATAAAAGAAACCAACACGTGAACTTTATTGTAAGTTAATAATGTATAGACATTACAGTTACCATTGATGCCAATGAGGACTGTTCCGTTCTCACATTATCCTCTACATTTCCTAGTCTCCTTTCATAGTGATCTAAAACATCAACTTTAGGTCCAAAAAGTCCCAAACACCCTTCACGCGTCTGCCTTTTAGGAGCACCATTTTTTTGTTTAAGATTAGTAAGCTTTTTGTACAATTTATCTGCATCAGTCTTCAAAGAATAAACTTCAATAGTAAAAATTATGACATAAGTAATATTAGGTAAAAATATAGATTTCAAACAAGTTCATATTCGTGACAAGAAAACCGCTTACAATAAGATTTTGAAGTCTATTGCTTCGACGAACGACTGAGTGTGAAAGATACGTAGAAGGGTGATACTCAGAGAAAAACCGCTCAACAGCATCGGTACATGTGCTTCCCGGTGGAATAGGAATACCACGGACTAACAAAGTAAAGTGATGAGGCTGTGGCTCGGATGAATAAAAGAAAGCAATTCGTTTTGAGGAAATGTACAGATATTCCTATAAAAGAGATTAAAATTAAAAACAATAATTCAATCACTAACTTTATAAATAAGAGGAAAAATATGACAGTGTTTACAAGGAGAACTTGAACATTAAAACTTACATAATAAAGAAGATAGCAAACAACTCCAGTGAAAACATATGCAGCAGAAAAATGTATCCATAACCTTAATAAAGGTCAAAACTAGGTATCAGAATTCTCATGTTATAACTTAGATGAGTCCAACTATATGAATATAATCTTAAATATTTACATATTAAACAAGCTCATAAATTAAAGAAAAATTAACTTCAAGAATTTGATGTCAAAATATGACCTACATATCGATATTTCATATATGTGTGTATTGTTCTTCATTGTGAATGAATAATATCCAATAATTAACACTATTTTTGTCCATAATATTCACCTATTTGAACCGTTGTTAACATTAGAAATACTGAACGAATCCAAAGACTTGTGTTGAAAATCTGAATCATCACTTAGCTGACTCCCCAAATAGTTTATCGGAAGAAGAATACACATTCCAATAATTCCACCAAAAGTAGATATCTTTAAGCTGCAAGATATCACAAAAACAAGGAAAGGTGTCAGCGGAACCAAATAAGAGCCTCATCACTCAGATACTAAGTAACACCGACACTTCAGATTGGAGCAGTGTCCGCTGTTTGACATTGCACCAACACATTACTGACACACTACATTCAATCACTTATATTTTATACTAAGTATTACCAGCGTCTATGAATACATTAGGATCGTGAATAGTATTGATGCTTCATAGATCATATATGAGTTTAAGAAACTCTAAAAAGTTGGTGGCTATAACGCCTGAATATCCATAAAAAAGAGTAAAACAACAGCGTACCAAAAATTGACATTTGACATATCTAAATTTAGAATCAATAAAAAAAATTACATTACCTAAAGACAAACATGCGCATAAAGACAAAGGCATCTAAGCCAGAATTCGATAAAAACTCTTCCTCACTCAGCTCCCATGCCTTTCTCACCCAACCAGCAGTAGGTAACAAGCGTTCCAAGTTAAATTGACCGCCCTCTTTAACTTTTCCTTCAGCAACTAGGCGTGGCGCATATACAGTGATATTACCCGGCTGTCTTCTCAATATAGAATATAAGGTGAAAAATAGAAGACATAGACCAAGATTAATTCCAACTGAAGTTAAAAGAGCCGAAAGAATCATTCTCGAAATCTAGATCGAAACAACTAGACCGACTCTTTCCACTCATACAAATATAGTAAACCTCAAATCAAATCAATCGAATCCCTTAATTGTCAAACCTGCATATATAATATATCATTAATACTTGATTTAGAACAGAATCCAAAGCAATTGAAAACTAATCACATCCTAAATTTAGGATCATCACTATTGAAACCCTAAGAAAATGTTCAAATAGGGTGTAGGCATAAACCAAATACATAACATAACCTAATTTCTTTGAGCAGGTTAATTCAAATTCCATTGAATTTCATTTTTGAATAAATGAAAAGTTATAAGATCATCATCCATTAACATTGCATCAGTTCTGAATAATGCAATCATATTCCCATTCATACAAACTCATGACAAAGTAATAGTTAAACAAATATGATACTCAAATTAACAAGAAATTAAACAAAAATTTCAATGGTTATAGAAAATGAAGAATCAAGAGAGAGAAAACTTAGGTACCTGATTAATTTGTTGATGATGAAGAAGCAAGAGAGAAGTGATAGTGATTAGTGAAATGGTCAAGAGAAGACATAAGAGCATGCTATGGAGTAGGACGTAACTAACAACGTGTCTTGTATGGTGGCAATGAGAAATTGTAAAGCAATCTCCACGTGGTACTCTCTGTTTTAAGTCGGTAGGTAGTATCCTCATTCGGTTTCTCATTTTTGGAATTTTATTATCCTTGACATATGTAATAAATTTGATGCTTCCACGTGGATAATATTGTTTAATTATCACAATCATTCTTTTCTTTATCTTTTAAAGATAAAAAACAAAAAATTGGTTCAATTTTGGCATATTCTAAGTTCATTTTAGCCTCGTAATTTTAATTTAATTTTTTATTTTAATTTTTTATTTGAAAAAGAATTACATGTTAGTCTTTTAGAAAAAAATTCTATTAGCTGAATTGGTTATTTCCGTTAAATTTTTGTTAATGTCTATTGATGTAGTTTGACAATTAGTAAAAAATTGAGTTGTCATATATATTAAAAAAATGATATTTTATTTAAATTAAAATAGTATTCTTTTCGGAGGTTAAAAACCTCGATAAATTGTTAATTATGAAGAAAAAAAATAACAACAATTCTTCTGCAGTTATACATGTTTGCAATTATACTGACAATGTAATTCCATCAAACATAACAAATTGAGAATGCAAGTCTTTTTTTCTAGGGTTCATTGTAACGCCCACATATAATATATATCTAGAATAATTCAGATTATACATGGTTGTACTTGGTGCTGAAATATGCATAAGTTCTTAGTGACACATCATACATATTACATGCCCAAAATATTAAAATACTAAATTTGGCATAAATATATACAAGATGTCTAAACACAACTAAGAACTAGATCATATCAATGATTTCAAAATGGAGTCTTCGCAGCGAAAAAGCCATCCAAAAAACTAAGATAAACAAGGATATCAAACTGCTTTATCCTTACCCTTCACAGAACCGGAACCACCTAAAAATTAATTAAAAACACGAGGTGAGATAATAATCTCAGCGGGTTCCCTATCTAATTGGTTCTCTCGGCATTACAAGGTTCTAACCAATTCTAACTCAAGTCAAAAGGAAAGGGATAAAACTTGAGCTCACAAACCACACACTATATGGAAACATGTTATTTGAGTCCAACAACTCAAACTATCACTAGTCGAAAACTACATCAAGACATCTTTCCCCGGCCAACCCTATGTTTAGAGTTAACGACACGAGTCATGGATCCTTGTATTATAGATATTTTTCCCCAGCCAACCCACATAAGAGTTCTCGACACGGATCACAAATATCTAGCTCATAGGTAACTTTCCCTGCCCAACTCGCACAAGAGTTCTCAACACGGGTCACGGATACCTACCTAATAAGTAATTTTTCCCGGCAAACCCACACAAGAATTTTCGACACGGGTCACAGATACTTATTAATGAATAGTACGCACATTCTGAATGAGCTCTCTATATAAGCCTCAACTCTTGAAACGACATGTCTCAAGGGATTGCTTTCGACTACGTGATCACATACACAAACATGATTGTATTCGACAATCACAAGGCAATCACATTCACCTTGTTCTCAAAGTAACAACAAAATCAACACATGTTCCATATAATGTCTCACCTCTCCACTAGACAACTACTTGTCAAGGATGCACACCTAGGCATCAAATGCACAAGTATTGTCATCTAAGTCATTTATCAACTCCTAGTTACATCCCTAGGTCATTCCATTGGATTTTGATAAGTTTTCCTCACTTTTCTTAATTCTTTTTAATCATATAACCATCATTTAGTCAATCCACAAATACACATGCATATTACTCATCATAATCAATATAAACAATATATAGTAATCACAAATATGCATGCGGAACAACCAAACAAGCATCAAAACAAAGTATTAAAAACACTGCGAGGTCGCAATGCAAAGGCCAGACGAGGTCCCTTCTCGTTGAGTTCGTCGTGCGAACACTGGGCGAGGCAAGAAAAATAATGGCAATGGCAAAATCCCTCGGTGCTCGCTATGCAAACTCTGGGCGAATGTCCGCCTTCGTCTCACTTCCACTCGCAGTACGAGCATGACAGACTATCATGTTCGCCTGCAGTTTGTTAGAGCTCGTAGTGCAAACCCTGTGATTTCTACAATCTGTCCAGCAGAATAGAACAATATCAAGGGGTTTTCAAACTCCACTCTTACCCAAACTCAATCCATCGTTAATATTAACATATTCACACATGAAACAACATTTTAAACCATAATCTCACATCAATATCTTAAATATAACATGAATCATATATTTTATATGGAAATGGAACAAGAACACCATAACCTAACTTTTTCCATTCTATCCAAATACTCTAACCTTGAATTTCTACCTAGAACCCACATCTAGATAATGAAGAAGAAGTTGTTGATGATGAAGATGAGATGATGGAGATTGATGGATGAGCTTATTCTTCTTCTTAGGGTTTTCTTTCTCTTTTCCAATTTTCTCTTCTTTCTCCCTTCGTTCTCTTCTTTCCCTTTATTCTTCTTTCACTTACTATGTTTTTCTTTCCTTTTTTCCTTTATATCACTTTTCCCACGAAATAGAACAAAAGGCATAAAGAGGTAACATGAGAAGTTAGTAAGACTAACTTGGTTAAAAGTTCAAAATTAAGAGTATTTAAAATTTCTCTAATGTACCAATTAATAAAATCTTAGAGTCTGATAATATTAATTAAATCAAATTTGAGCTCATTGGTTGCTCTAATCATCTCAATAGATAATTCTCATAGCAAACTGGAACTTAGTTGATCTCAACTAATATTACTTAGATCATCTGAACAAATAGGGGGTATTTCATCCCCCTCCCCCCTTTAAATAAAATTTATCCCCGAATTTAAATATTACATGAAAAAGGTGAGGGTAAGGATCCTTCATCTCAGACTCAAGCTCCCAAGTAGCACCACCTGGATGTGTTTCGTCCCATTGAACCTTAACAAGAGGAATCTCCTTGTTTCTCAACATATTAGTTTCTCTTTCCATAATACAGCTTAGTAGAGGTTCAAAAGTTAAGTCTGCTTCTATCTTAATTGTATCTGAAAGAACTGGTTGAAGAGGATCAGGAATAACTTCCGGAGTTGAGACACGTGAAAAACGTCATGCATCTCAGATAGAGAAGGTGGTAAAGCTAGTCTGTAACCTACTTCACAAATCCTCTCTAAAATCTGATATGATCCCACATATCTCGGACTTAACTTCCGCAACTTAAATGGTCCTTTCAATCTCAACCTTGGATTAACTTTCAAATACGCATGATCACCTTATTCAAATTCCAATGGTCTCCTTCAGTTATCCACATAACTCTTTCGATGGTCTTGTGCTTTCTTAACCTTGTCACGAATTATTATAATCTTTTCCATAGTTTCTTGAACAATCTTCGGTCCTAAAATCCATTCTTCACCAACTTTCGTCCAACACAAATGCGTTCTACATTTCATTCTGTACAAATCCTCTTAATAGACCATACCAATACTCACGTGGCAACTATTATTGTATGCAAACTCAATCAATGGTAAAAGTTCCTTCCAATTTCCTCCACTTTTAAGCACACAGACTCTTAACATGTCTTCCAAAGTTTGTATTGTCTGTTTCATATGGCCATCCGTTTGAGGATGATTCGACGTGCTCAAACATAACTTATATCCCATGACTTGTTGAAAATCTTTCCAAAACCTTGACGTAAACTTCATATCTCTATCAGATACAATGATGGAGGGAACACCATGAAGTCTCACAATTTCTGCAATAAAAAACCTTGCAAGATAAATTGCCTTATAAGTAGTTTTCACGACCAAGAAATGTGTCGACTTCGTCAACCAATCTACAATCACCCAAATAGAATCATAACCACATTATGTATGAGGTAATCTAACTGCATACTCCATTGAGATGATATCCTATTTCCACGCCAAAATCTCTAACAGTTATAACAAACCACCTGGTCTTTGGTGTTCGATCTTCACTCATTAGCACATCGTACATTCCCGACATATACACTGCAATGTCTCTTTTCATTCCAAACCATCAATAGTCCCTTTTTAAAACTTGATACATATTCGAAGAACCAGGATGTATAGTGAAAGCACCTTTATGATACCGCATCACCCAGAAAACAAATTTTTTGATTAAATAGAATAACTTCATTTATGGCCCGTGTGAAACCCAGTTGAACCAACATCCCTTGTAACTTCACATCTAGCACTTGCCCTTGTTGGATTTCATTTCTTAAGGTAGAATTAACATTCAAGTTTCCCATCATCACACCATCTGGAGTCCAAACAAATTGAAGATTAAGATCTCGAAACTTTTCCAACAATGCATACTCACACATCATCAACTCGGCTTTATGTACTTCCTTCTGACTTAACACATCTGCCACCTTATTCGCTTTGTCTGAATGATACTTCAATTCAAATT